AGCCCCCCGAGAGACTTCGTGTTTGCCGGTCTCCTGTCTGGCCCCCTGAGAGATTTCCTGAGGGACTTTGGGCTCGCCGGTCTCCTGCCAGCCCCCTGAGAAACTTTGTGTTCGCCCGCCTCCTGCTCGGCCCCATGAGAGACTTCCTGAGGGAATTTGGGTTCGCCAGCCTCCTGCCAGGCTCCCCGAGACACTTTGTGCTTGCTGGCCTCCTGCTCGGCCACAAGAGTGTTCCCGCCCTCTGTGTTGGCCACGAAGGCGACCCCCTGACCTGTTCTGCCTGTTGAGTCAACCACCAGGTCGTCCGCCCCGAAGTGTCTGGCCCTCCTGCTCAGTTCGTCTGCCTGTCTGATTTGTTCAGTTTAGTTTACTTAGTACCTGTCTCAAATCTTAGTTTTAGTCCTGCATTTTATTTCTGTGTCTTAGTTCCATGTCTTTGTATTCACTCCTGGTTCGTTATTTGTATTATTAGTTTTCTGGTCTGCTAAGTGTTGTTCTGGTGTTCAGCGTTCAGTATGCTTGTTTCTTGTTGTGTTTAGTTTTCGTCTATTTAATGTTCAGTTTGTATTCTGCATTTAGGTTTGGTCCTGTCTGTTTCCCCTGCTTTCTCTCTGCCTACCTGTGTGTCTGTTGTCCTTGATTAGGTCCTCATGTCTCTCACCTGTGTATTCCCTCCCAGCTCATTAACCCTGTTTATATATTGCCTGTGTTTCCCTCTGTGTCTGGTCATTGTAGCTTGTCATAATCTGTCTTGTGTGATGTCCACTGCCTGCTCGTTTCCCTCCGTGCTTGTTTTGTGTGGATTTGGATTTTAGATTTCCTTTGGATTACTTGTTTTGTTTGGACAGTTGTTATTTTTGGATTCTTGAATTCTGCCACTGTGTACACCTTTAATTTCTTTAATAAACCTCTGAACTGGGGTGGTGATGGCGCTGTGAGAGACCCAGGTTCAACTCCCCACTGCGACACATCCACCTGTCTCTGAGCAAGACACTTAACCCCTAGTTGGTCTGTGCGACCTCTGACATAAATAGCAATTGTAAGTCGCTTTGGATAAAATCGGCAGCTAAATGAATAAATGAACTGGACCTGGGTCCTCAAACTTCCTCCACACATCACCCCCCTGACAAACAGGTGTGTGAGGTAGGAAGGGGCCTGGTTATAGAGGGCTTTGTGGTTGAGGAGGAGGAACTGAATGCATTGGGAACAGGGAGTCAGTGGGTGAGGAGGCAAGCAGCAGAGTTTTGCATGTACTGAAGTTTATTTTGGGCTTTGTTAGATGAACCATAGCAGATGCTACTGCAGTAGTCAATTCTGGATGTAATGAAGGTGGGGATACAGGTTTCGGCAGCAGAGAAGGTGAGTGATGGGCGGAGACGATTATTGAGATTATTGAAGTAGAAGAAGGCAGTCCTGGTGATATGGTTAATGTGGTGTTCAAAAGTGAGGTTGCTGTCAAAGATGACTCTGAGGTTGCAGATATTTGGGGATGGAGACAGGATGTGGTTGTTGATGGAGAGACTGAAGTTGTTGGTGTCTTTTGTGTGACCAAAAGAATCAAAACAGCTTTTCAGAAAAATTTATCCAAGTTGTGAATCCTGTCAGGTGAAGTCCACCGCTCTCGGTCTGCTAACTTCTCTCATCCTGCACCATGTTGTTGTTTTCATTAGGTTGCTGCCTTCAAAATAAAAGCGTATAGGCTGTCTGTTGGAGCTAGATCAAATGAATGATGTGTATTTATTTGATCATTTTTACATAAGTATTATTCAGTTTGAAATATATAAACTGTTTCATAGTAGTTTCAGTTTTGTGCAAAAAGAATTAAAGGCCTGTCCCAAATAAAAGCAGGGTCAATTCAGTGATTTTAGCAAATAAAAGCCCGGGCTATATTTCAAAGTTTTACGGTAATATTTTTTTCAAAACTTCAACCGCTAAATGTGCAACATGCAACATGAGTCTATAACTAAATAATATAACTACTAACTTTCAAATTAGTTGAGACAGCAGCAGAGGTCGTTGCCTGTTTAAGACCTGGTGGCCTAATTGAAACTCAGATTAAAAAGCCAGATCAGTCTCTGTCTATTGATAAACTGTAGGAATAAGTTCAAGCCCCTTCAACTCTGATAGCGGGCGGGTGTGTGCGTGAGATGAGAGGGGACGCAACATATTCACGGGATTGCGCCCTGTAGTACACAGAGCCATTGCTATGGTTACTACGCATTGAGTGCCTGGCGTTGATTTGCGAAGCACTTGTGGGCCTGTCTGTTGATTTATCCCATGGATCCAAGCTGTATGAAAAGGCCTTTACATATAAACCCCGTCACAACCATTCACAAGAAATTCATTTATAACGTGCCAAAACCTTTAACATAAGGACGACCCCCCCACCGCCCGTACAAAGCAGTCTCTCCCGACTTTTTAAATAACCAAATATCGTATCCATTACAGCGACAAGGAGTAGCCTGTGGTTTTTACAAAACATAAAGGCCTAAAATTTCTCGATGCCACTGGCTGAGATTTAAAAAATTAAGCAAGTAGGCTAAATCCTGACTTTTGAACTTAGTTACTGTTTTTCTGCACATGTATTAGGCTGTAAGAGCAGTATTCAGTGATTTTATGAAACGTTACGTAGCCTACCATCGCTTCCAAGCATCACTGGCAGCAGCGACAGAATACCAGAGTTTATTTCTATAAGTTTCACGTTGCTGTGCTGCTTTTTCTGGTTGCACAAAGTTTACAATAGATAATGTTCTTTGCATCTGCAACTACTGTGACACAATAATGGCAGTAGCTAACATTACTTACAGCTGTGGAAAGATCACCTCTACCCCTCTGTCTCCATTCTTCATTTAGTTTTTTTTTTCTTTTCTTTTTTTTTTTTTTTTAAACCTGTCCTGCCCAGCAGCCTGGTATAGAGTATAATGACTGGATACCATATTGTGCCAGACAGATTTTACTTTAACAAGAGAGTATTAAAATACTCCTTTGTCTATTTTATTATTTATTTAATTATGTATTGATTTGTCACCGGGCCGGACAGGGGGCAGACACGGGGATGGGGGGGCACAAACAGACAGCACAGAGAAAGGACAACACATGTAAGAGAAGGGGGAAACGGGGATGGAAGGTGGGGACAACAGGGAAAAGCTGTGGGAAACACCAATTGCAGAAAGCAACGAAACCTGCAATAGAACAGAGAGGGGGGCTTGGGGAGGAGAAAAACAACAACAAACAAACAAACACAAACAAAAACAAACAATAAAAATAATAATAATAGTAAAAGACAACCAGCCGAACAGCAGCAATAAACAGCTGACATATAATGACATATTAAGACAACTAAGAGAACAATGAAAACAAGAAACAGTCACACACACTAAATAAGCAACACAACACAGCCACGAGAGCTGGAATAATAATTAATTTAAATAAGTAACTGAAAGAAAGGCATCAGGAATAATTCTACCAGGGACAACCTAAGTTTGTTTGTGTCTGTGTGTGTCTGTGTGCGTGTGGGTGAATGTGTCTGTATGTGTGTGTATGTACATGTGTGTGCGCATAAGCCTGTTAAAGAATGTAGTTGTTAGTGAGAGTGGGACGCCACGACTGTAACAGGCAGGCAAGAACCCCAGTAGCCAATAGGGGTGGAGGAAAGAAAAAGAATAAATCAAATAAAAAAAAAAAAAGACTCCCAGATGCACCGCGATGCAAACGCAGAAGACCCCGACCCAAATGCCAGTTGACAACGTAATGCCGACGGAACGCAAAAAGCGTAACCCGCGGAAGAGCAGCGCCCGGACCGACCGCGGCGCGCACACAACATAGACCAGTGCTCCCCCCCCCCCCCCCCCCCCCACCCAGCACCCCACCGCCGCGCAGCAAACAACCAAAATGCCCAAATGCCACGCAATCATCAACACCAATGCACAAGTGACGAGCCCAACGCGCACACTGCGCGAGTACGGCGACACCCATGCCCAGCAGCCCCCGCGAATCCCGCGTGCGAGGTCGGGCAAACGAAAGAGAGCAAACGGAACAACACGAGCGGAGAGAAACACCAGCAGCAAGTCCCAGCCCTGCAGCAAACGCGCCGCGCAGGTCACCGTGCACCCGCCAATAAAAGTCCGCCGTCCCCCCAACCGCCGGAAAAAACTAAGGCCGCCGGCGCCAGCCGACATCCCCCATGCCCAGCGCGCCCCCCGGCCGCCGTGCAACACCAGCCAAACCAGCAACGAGGCAAAATCAACTAGCTTAGACCTGCTCTTTTATGAAAAGCGCTGTGAGATAACTGTTGTTGTGATTTGGTGATATATAAATAAATAAAATTTAATTTAACTGAATTAAAACAATTATGAGTATGATGATGAATGGCGCGGCTGGGACTTGTCACTGTCAGTAGTTCTTCTAAAGTTTCGTTAATTTATTCAATATGTATATGTACAGTATATCTTGTGGTGTTGTTCATGTATTTAACCATTTTATGCTGCTGATCACCCTTGTAAAACAGATAAATTCTCTCATTAGGTCTTGGTTAAAGATGGGTAATATAAAAGATGGTTAAATAAAATTTTAAAAAATGATTTAAATGTGTCCAGTGCTTTGATTTAGGACTAAATATCTGGAAATCTGGTGACGTTCCCATCAGCCTCAGCTGTTCTTTGTGTTCGGTAAACTAAGATGGTAAACATGTCTCATGTTGATGAGTCTATTCGTCCAACATAGCTGTTGGACAAATCTTTCCAAACCAGCCTATTTTGATATGAGCACCCCATCTTGTCAATTCAGAAAAAAGAGTCCAAGAGTTCTTCCTGACCAGATCTTCCCAAGATTTCCAAAGGCAGATAAATGTGCTGAAATGTTTAATTTCTTCTGGGTTGACAATGGACATGGGTGAGTTAAGTCACATGCTTTCTCCAGTACACACAGTCCCAAGAGCCAATCATGCATAACAAAGCCCTACAGTAGCAGGGACTGAACAAAAGCACACAAACATTGTCAAAGTACTCCATAAATAGATTTGATTTATTTAATCTTATTTGACACAAAATGTTCATGGAAATGCATAATGCACATAAATTAATCTGGCCTTCTTTACCATACCAAAGCACCGAGAGCACTCATCTGTTGACGGCAGACCACAAGGAAGATAGAAAGGAGATTTTTATCTCAAGATCAACATGTAAATGTACAAAACATGTTCAAAATGATTCTATGAATTTGACTGCTTCACACTGGAGTACACACATTCACTCTTGGTGTCGTTCCTCTGTCTTCTTGATCTGGTGGGCAGGTTAACATTTAGAGCAGCATAATGGAGGCTGTCTTCATTTTGGTAGCCCTGGTAACGCAATATTTAAAAAGTTGTTAACAACATGTTTATGGACAGAAATATTTCAAAATGTCAACAAAATAATTAAAATAAAACGATGTTTGAATGTTATTCTAAACACAATGAATTCACCTCTGCATCTACTGTGGAGGGAGCATGAATCTTTGCTTGAGAGTCTGGATGTGAAACACAAAAAAGGCTATTATTATCTGCTATGATTTGAAAGCCAAATACAAGCTGTCAGATATAAAGAGTTTTAAATACCTGGTCCTGAGTAGCTATTTCGCTTGTTTATCTTGTATACCAAGAAAGCCAGCAAAACAACTAGGATGGTGGTCAATCCCAAAGCCCCACTCAAGAAATACACCAAGACAAGAGAGTCCCGCGCATCTGTAGATTCAATCAGAAGACATTGGAGATTTTTTCACTCAGTGTTCATCTTATGTAATGGGATAGGATGTAATCACAGCTATTTTTAAGATGAACAAACTTCTCTTAGAAAGTTACTTGCCTTCCAAATCCAGCTTGGTCCCGTTTCCAAACAGTATGTGTCCACATGAGGACACAGCACAGTAGTAGGTCCCAGCATGAGAAAGATTCAGGCTCTTCAATGGCAAGTCGTAGACACAGGTTTGTGTGTTGGGTTTCCTCTCACACTGATTGTTCCTGCCTCCATGGGTGTAAATGAGTCCTGGATGAGATTCTTCAGAGTTTTTGAACCAGTAAACACTGTGTTCTCCATCACAGGTCCCAGTGTGTACTGTACAGTTCAGAGTCACAGAGCCTCCTGGCTGGATGGGCTCAGATGCTGACTGATGGACTGAAACTGGGACGGTCAAACCTGAACCCTTTACACTGACAGTAGTGCCCTCTGCAAATTCAAAAATATATGTAAAGCTACTTGCGCAGTAGTAAGTAGCTGCGTCTGATACACGTGAATCTGAGATCTTCAAGTGATTTTGACCTGTTGCAGTATCCAGTGTGAAGCGTGGATTGTTCTTGAATTCATCATGAAAAGTTCCATTTTTATCGTACTTGTAGAAAGTAGAGATGAGCCTTGGTCTCTGTCCCAGAGTTTGTTTATACCAGTAAAGCCTTGCTACATTACCTTCATAGAAACATTGCAAAGTAACCTCATCACCAACATAAACTGATACAAAACCACTCGTTTGGCGCACAGATGAGGACACTTTCAGTTCATTTGCCTTAGCTGAAATAAAAAGAAACAAAACAAAAAAACAATTAATTTCTTGAACAGAAAGTATATTATAACCAACACATATAAAATGATTCGATGATGATGATGTTACGAGAAGGGACCATGCACTCCAAAAGATTCAAATTTGAACCACAAAATCACAACTCACCCATTTTCCCCAAGAACACACATGCGAGATAGAATGCAACCATAGCAGGTGTCATTGTGTTCAAACTGCCGTGTTGAATGAAAAACCTCCTGATGCTCTCTCCACTCTTAAAAGACAAGACTGTATTTGATTGGCCAATCAGAGATGACACTATACTGTAAGCCCCATATACTGTAGGAAACATGATCACATGTTCACTTCCACCTACAGTGTCAGTTTCTTCCTTGAAAAGAATCAAATGGTGAGAGATATATGAAGAACATAAATGATTCTCATCTTGGCATTACATGACAATGGAAATCAGTGAAAGAAAAATTATCTTAATAGACAGTATAATCACCAGTTACAAGTCTGCTCATCATTAATGGACTTCATAAACAAAATTAATCCTTTTGTAATGATTTTAAGTAGTTTATCCTTACACTATGCACAATTATTAGGTAGGTATGCTGAGTGAATCCTTATTTCTATGCACATTTTCCAACTCCAAACACCTTATATGACGGTGTGCATGATTTCTAGGCATTTTCATTAGCTCAGGTAAAATAGACCAAAAAAGTGATTTAACTGACAAAGTCAAAAATTGAATATGTTTTTGAGACCGATGCATCACTCTTGAAATAGTTAAATTTTTGAAGCGTGACCAACAGACAATCAAACGTTTTGTTGCTAATAGTCAACTGTGGTGCAAAAAGCTCTCGGAGAAGAAAAGGCACAAATTAACTGCAAAAGACTTGAGTAGAATTAAACATGAAGCTACCAGGTACCCATTATCCTCCAGTGCCATCATATCCGGAAACCAATGTCAGGAAGGATGAAGCACGACCACCACTGGGCAAAGAAATACCTGAAGCCGATTGTTCAAAGCTTTTATGGAGAGATGAAATGAGAGTAACTCTTGATGGACCAGACGGATGGGCCCATCGTTGGATCACCGATGGACACAGGGCAACATTTCGACTCATGCGCCTGCAAGGTACAGGAGGGGTACTGGTATGAGTTGCTATCATTAAGGATGAGATAGTTGGACCTTTTCAGGTTGAAGATGGACTAAACTCAACCCCATAACCTACTGACAGTTTCTGGAAGATACTTTCTTCAAGCAGTGGTGCAGGAAGAAGTCCTCAGCATTCAAGAAGATCTTTATGCAGGACAATGTTCCCATCACACGCCTCCAAGTTTTCCACTGCTTGTCTAGACAGCAAGGGCCTCAAAGATGCCCGAATAATGACCTGGCCCCCTTCCTCTCTTGACTTGAATCCTATTGAGAACTTGTGGGTCGTTCTCAAACGTGAGATTTAAAGTCAGGGAAGAAAATACACCTGTTTGAACAGTATTTGGGAGGCTCTGGTTACTATTTCAGCGAAGGTTAATGGTGAACTGATCAAGACACTGACAGACTCCATGGATTGAAGGGTCATGGCAGTTATTGAAAAGAAGGGCTGCTATATTGGTCACTTTCTCCTGAGCAAGACAAAACTCACTTTTCCTTAGTTAACCATTCAGGTTTGAGGTTCAGTAATATTTTGAATTAACTGAGAGCATTGTGTTTGTTGAACAATAAAATGAATCCTGAGGTATACATTTGCCTAATTAATTGTACAGGCAGTGTCTGTAAGGATACAACTGACTCCTCCTGGGCTGAAATCATATTTGTTTCTCAAATCAGTTACGACAGGCTGTCTGCACTATTTGAAAGTGTTCAGTTCAGACTGGTGTCCAGACATCAACAACCTATCTGCATGGGTTGCTGTGGACCGCTCAGATTGTAGCAGCATGGAATCTGCTCAGCTGCTCTGATTCAATATACTTTTTCTCGTAGTAATTCAGAGCAAACTTAGCAATACGTTAGACTTTGATGGTTGGTGGATGGTTTCACATAAAGCAGAGCCAGGAAAAAGTTTAGGCTTAGAAAGTCTTCCTGTGTTTACTAAATGTGGCCCAGAAGAAAATTGCCATGGCCAAATTTTGTTCCCATTTAAACCCTGGGCAGAGGCATGTCAAAAGTATGAACTGGCTACTGAAAAAAAAAAGCTTAGTTAGGATGTAATCACAGCTATTTTTAAGATGAAACAACTTCTCTTAGAAAGTTACTTACCTTCAAAGTCCAGCTTGGTCCCGTTTCCAAACAGTATGTGTCCACATGAGGCAACAGCACAGTAGTAGGTCCCAGCATGAGAAAGATTCAGACTTTCCATTGGCAAGTTGTAGACACAGGTTTGTGTGTTGGGTTTCCCCGTCCCACTGATACAACCGCCCCCCGCCCCAGTGGTATGATAATTTAATATAATTGCCTAATAAATGAAAATACCAAATCAATAATGGATTCTTCAAGTTGGTCAAGAAAAAACACCGTTGCTCCCATAGTCACTACTGCTTTGGTCCAAGGTCTCAGTGATAATGCAGAAGTGTAAGTGAGTGTCAAACTTGCATGACGTGCAGTGCTTGAAGTGGAAAACATTACGTGCCAGTTATTCTTTTATTCATGTGTTGCATGTGTATTGGCCAGTCTCAGCTACTCATTAATTACATTCTGAATTTCTACAGTAAATAAAAAAAGGAGATATCACTGATGTTCACAGCGTACATTTATTTAACCGGGGTGACAACCATTTCAATTACTAGAGAAAATACAATAAAATTATTAAAAATTATTGTAAGTTCACTACAATCCTTCCTCCTTTAAAACAGTTTGCTCCATCTGTCAGTCTAAGAGTAAGTAGACTACAGAACAGAATGAGGTATAAATAAACTATTAACTTAATTATATTAACTCACCTGAGTCTGTACATACACTAGCTAATGATACAGCATCTCATTTAATGACACACGTAAGCATAGCACCTGTAAATTATAGGTAACTCCACTACTAACACTAACACTAATAATCTTATTAATCTTATGAGCTGCATCAGGCCCAAATATAAAATACTACATATATATGAGAAATGTGCATTTACATTGCTCAGTATGTCCAGGTAATCTACATTTTAAGTTCAATATTATAAACCATATATTGTCATCGCCATCACCCCCTTATATTGTCTGGACAGGTCTGCACAGAGGTTACTGCAGGAATGTGCAAGTTTAATTTTGAATGGTTATCTTATCCGAGTTGCACTTTATAAATACCGTTGCCTGTAGGCTTTTATCAAACATAATAAATAGTTGTATTTTACTCTCTCTTTTCACAGGTCACAGAACAGCGCCGGCAGCAGCTGCTGGCAAGAAAAATAACTGCAGCTTCATCCTCTCATAGAAGTTGTAAACACTGACACCCTCTTTGAAGCGGGCCTTTGTGTAATATGCAGGGTCTGAGCCGCCCAGCTCTGCTACCGGCAGTTTGTGAGAAGTGTGTAAGAAAAAGTGACGGTGTGCTAAAGAGTAGAGATGTGCCAGTACTACTAGGTTGATTTTATTTATTAATTTTTTAATAAATATCCCATAGTTATTTGATTTGACATTTTGTACAGTCATGGTGAGGATGAGTGTGAACTTTTATTACCTCACCTGAAGAAAATTGGTCTCCATGTCGGACTTAAAGAAATCATGAGTATGATGATGAATGGTGCAGCTGGTACTTGTCACTGTGCATAGTTTTTTGATGTGTATGTACAGCGACCTGTCCATGGTGTACCCCGCCTTTCACCCAGTGTCAGCTGGGATTGGCTCCAGCCCCCTGTGACCCTGTACGCAGGATAAGTGGTTGATGATGGATGGATGGATGGATTATGTATATATACAGTATATCTTATATTATTTGTTATATGTTTATATGTGGTACTGCTCTTGTCTGAAACCTTTTATGCCGCTGTCTTGGCCAGGTCACCCAAGTAAAAGAGATCACTGATTTCAATGGGTCTTACCTGGTTAAATAAAAATTCATTAAAATTAAAATTGATAATTTGATTATTTGATTAATAAATACCTGTAACACTAATGACATTCCTATCAGCCTCAGCTGTACTTTGTTTGGTAAACTAAGAAGGTAAACAGTACATGTCTCATGTTGATGTTAAACGTAGCTGTTGGACAAATCTTTCCAAACCAGCCTATTTTCGTGAGAGCACGAAATTTTTGTAAATTCAAAAAACATGCAGTTCTTCCCGGCCAGAGCTTCCCAAGATGAATCTGCAGCCAGTTGTCCAAAGGCAGGTACAATGTGCTTTAATTTCTCCTGGGTTGACAATGGACATGGGTGAGTTAAGTCACATGCTTTCTCCAGTACACACAGTCCCAAGAGCCAATCATGCGTGACAAAGCCCTACAGTAGCAGGGACTGCACAAAAGCGCACAAACATAGTCAAAGTACTCCATGAATAGATTTGATTTATTTAATCTTATTTCACCCAAAATGTTCATGGAAATCCACAATGCAAATAATTAAATTAAGAACCATTAAGAATAAAATGCAAATGCTACCACAAATATCACTGATAAATCACATCATAAAATAACATCACGGTCTTCATTGCCCAAGAGCAGCTTTTAGGCATTTTATCCTATAAGCATTTTTAAACCTTTAAACAGACAAAATAAAGAGAGTAGAGGACCCTAAATGTGTAGGTCACTAAACTTTACCACAAGGAAGCTATAAACAGATGTTTGCCGTACCAAAGCACAGAGAGATCTCATCTTTTGACTGCAGACCACAAGAATGATAGAAAAAGATTTTTATTTCAAGATCTACATGTAAATGTACAAAACATGTTCAAAATGATTCGATGAACTTGCCATCTTACTCACTAAGTATAAATGTAACATGTCCAGTTTTACTGCTTCACACTGGAGTACACACATTCACTCTTGGTGTCGTTCCTCTGTCTTCTTGATCTGGTGGGCAGATTAACATTTAGAGCAGCATAATGGAGGCTGTCTTCATTTTGGTAGCTCTGGTAACACAATATTTAAAAAGTTGTTAACAACATGTTTATGGACAGAAATATTTCAAAATGTCAACAAAATAATTAAAATAAAACGATGTTTGAATGTTATTCTAAACACAATGAATTCACCTCTGCATCTACTGTGGAGGGAGCATGAATCTTTGCTTGAGAGTCTGGATGTGAAACACAAAAAATGCTATTATTATCTGCTATGATTTGAAAGCCAAAGTCAATAAACTGTCAGATTTAAAAAGTTTTAAACACCTGTACCCGAGTAGCTGTTTCTCTTGTTCATCATGCAAACTAAGAAAGCCAGCAAAACAACCAGGATGGTGGTCAATCCCAAAGCTCCACTCAAGAAATACACCAAGACAAGAGAGTCCGGCGCATCTGTAAAGAGTCAATCAGATGACATTGGAGATTTTCTCACATGATAACTATTTTTAAGATGTAACGACTTTTGTTGGAAAGTTACTCACCTTCAATGTCAGCTTGGTCCCGTTTCCAAACAGTATGTGTCCACATGAGGACAC